ATGAACCCCAGACCAACCAAACGTTCCCCGCTTCCTCCGCCGTCGCCAACAGCATTATGTGTGTGTGTCCCTCCCCGTGTCCATGTTCCCTGTCTCTGTGTAGTGCGTGTCTTGCCAGTAGCAGCAGCAATGTGTGCAGCACGGCAGTGCGGTTTCTTGTTTGCGTGTAGTTTGCTGCCCAGAGAAAAACAAAAATGACGACGCCTCCCGGGGATGCGTCCATGTGACATATATATTTGCACAAACGGTGTGCTATCTCGAGACACCGACCACGGATTGCAAAGGTAGCGGTTGGGACAGCTCGGGCAAAATNAAATGGGCTCGAGTCTGCTGGGTATTTAGGGCGCGCAGACACCAGACAGACAGCCATGGCAAATTTTTCACGCCCCTGTGCATGAAAATTATTCTTTTTCTCGTGCGCACATACTCCCCACACGATCCCTCTAAACAGCTTTTTTTTTGCAAAACAAAACAAAAAGCGTACCTCTTACGGGACCACACTTTTTCAAAAAAAAAACTCTTTTTTAAATGTAGATTTACCTATACAGATGTTTTTGTACTTAGCACCAGCTGGCATCACTGATAAATCATCAGTGTATCGACTTATAAAGACTCGAAATGAGTCCAGTACCCAGCCGGTTGTCCTCCACTTACTGAAAAGACTCCACCACATCTCGTTCGACTGTGGGTATATCTCGAATGGGTAGTCTCTCTGTGCGTGTATTTATTTCTCCTTAATTTTCAAAGACACTTGTTTGATATACTCGCAGCAGCATCTGGTCGTGAGGATCCCAGGGGGACACGTGTTGGGAATTTCGTGTGTTGGAGGGTACCACCGGCACAGACACGAGGACCCTTTGGGCGTGGTCGGTGCGATGATGAGGAAGGCTTGCGTGCGTGCTGCGCTCTTCTTCTTCTTCCTCTTCTTCTTCCCTCTCTCTCCACCACCACCACCACCGTCTCTCTCCACAATCAAGTTTCCTTCTCCCACTCTCTCTCCCACTCTCTCTCAACCTCTCTCTCTCGGCCTAACACGGCCGACTACCCAGTGCCCCAAAGCAACGTCCAGAACGTGCTTGCTGCACCCCGCGTAGTTTACCTTTTCACACTAGTGCGACGATATCACGGTATCTGCGCGCGGGCGTAGCCTTCCGGGGGTTGGTTGTGCAGTCACGCGCAATCGGTAGACTCCCATAGCAACATAAATCATGGAGGGCATCGACCTCTCCGCCCTTAGCGAACAAGGACTGCAGCAAAAAGTTGAGGAGATCGTCCAGCAACGAGTCCAAGCCGAACTTGAAGCTAGCAGGACCAACGAGGGTGAAGTCACCTACGACCAACCACCATCAGCCGGCAACAACCCAGTCCCACCTACCGGCAGCCAGCCATCACCCTCCAGCCAGGGTAAAACAGCTACCTTCAACGACCCCAGCAGCACCGCACACATCGTGGCGCAAGCGGCCAAGGCGACAGCTGAGGCCATCGCTGAACAACAGGGCTTCGCCCGCTCAGGCACGTTACGTGTCAATCCTGGCTCAGAAAAAGAACCTTGGCTTGGTAGCGTGAAGAATGAGCAGGATTTGTATATTATGTTTGATATTTTTCGTAGTAAGATGATTTCATATTTTCAGGAGGAGGGTGTGCATGATGGGTTGGAACTAGAGGTTGAGGTCAAGGTCAGAAAAAGGGGTGTGAATATAGGAGACCTTCGGAGACTTTTTGGGAATGTGGTAGACAAGTCATTCAAACTGTGGAATATCCTGATCAGCAATGTTTTGTATCCCCCGATTCAGAGCTTAATTCTGGCGTGTGAGAGTTCCCAAAAGGGCTGGAAAATCGTGACAGAATTCTATCAGGAGAAAAAGCAGTCAGAAAAGTCGAGGTTGGAGCAGGACTGGAAGGAGTTGGAGATGAGAGAGTCCGAGAGTCCACAGGATTACATTGCCCGCTCAGAGGCTTTTCGCCTGCGTCTCGCATCTGTAGGCACAATTAAGGATGAAACAGATGCGTCCGGCATGGGCCGGCGCGGCGGGGGAAGTGGGGGGGCATCCGGGGGTCATAACGGCGGTCAGGCAGCAGCTGGCAGCCAAAATCGTGACGGAGAGAAGAAAAGTAGTGACGTGTTCAACGACGACCCCGGCGGATTTTGCCGCTACCACCAGTCCGAGCTTCACACCAACGAGCAGTGTCGTCTCCAGCAGCAACTGCGGCGCGCGCGTTCGAGAGACGGCGCCGCGGAACGCCGCTCGGGCGGCGGCAGTCGCGGTGGCGGCGGTAGCCAGCGTGGGGGTAGACCGCCGCCGGGGCCAGGCCGCGGTGGCGGCCGATGGGTAAGGCTAGAAGGGCAGAAGCACCACACCGGTCATGGTGGCGGTGGCTGGAGCCAAGCCTCAACCCCCCCGAGACCTCTTCGTGGACGTGGGCCTGGTGGTTGTCTGGGGCGTCACCCGGGGGGTCGTGGGCCCGCGGGACGCCACAGCAGCGACGGTCGTGCCGAGAGGAAACGGGCAGAGAGAGGTCCGGGGCACGCGCGTTCTGGCCACGGAAGAGAGCAGGCGTACGTTGTGTACTACGGCCACGATGATGGAGGCTACTACGAAGACTACGGCGACTACGACGACGGCTACTACTACGAAGACGGCTACCACGACGCCGGGTACGCCCACTACGCCGGCGGTGGGGACAGCTACAGCTACTCCTCAGGGTACGAAGACAGCCGTTCATCTGACGGCGGCATCCACTACGTGTACTACCCTCCTGCCGGCGAAGATTCGTCATCCGAGCAGTCACGTCAGCCCCCCCCCGCGAGCAGCAGCACCACCGCTTCCTCNCTAGGCAAGTCTCACCCTGACGATTTTTTTAGTAGGATAGGAGTGACAATCGGAGTAGAGTCTGCTGCGTCTGGTTCGTCTTTGCTGAGTGTGAAATCTAGTGAGGGGCCGCCTGGTAGCGAGAGATGGGTAGCAGATTCTGGAGCAAGCAACAGGTTCACCAACAGCGACTTGCACATGTACGACTTGCAGGAGATCCCCTCGAATAGGCAGTATGTCATTGTAGGAGATGGTCGTCTGCTGAAGGTGAAAGCAATCGGTAGCATCAACCTCAGCTTTTTCCAGGA